CCGACACTGTTTTAGTTTTGTCTCGTTAAAAACTGTGCAGTTTCTGAAATCTACGTTTTACTGTATCTTAGAGTCGGATTTCAAAATTTTGTTTTTCGCGACAATTCCTCATCTCGTCGAGATCTAAAATTGTCATTTTTGGTAAAAGTTGAAATTCGGCCTCTAAAGGCCTCATTTGGCTGAAAACCGTAGCTGCTGTTTTTTTTGAAACTGTTTCAGTCAAAAACTGTGCCGTTTCGGGAATCTGTGTTGTAGTACCTCTTAGGGTCGGATTTTGAAAATCTTTTCTTCATGAAATTTCTTCCTCTCATCGAAATCTAAAATTGTTACTTTTGTGAAAAATCGAGATTGAGCCTTTAAGGGTCCCGTTTGGCTGAATCAGTGGCTGCCAGTTTTTTTTTTGAAACTGTGTTGGATAGATTGTCCGTTTTTGCAAAATGGCTTCAAACTTGGTTTTAGAGTTAAAATTAGGTTTAGTCATAGTAACCGAAAATGTTCAAAACATCTAGGGCTATAAGTTCAAGCTTTGAAACATTGAAAAATATCACTCTAGGGTCATCATTTTCACGTTCAAATTCACCGGAAAATTTTTTCCTCTAATCCGAAAATAAGCAACTTAGATCAAGCATAAACATACCACATCAAACTAACCTCAAAACTCACAAAACCAACATAAAACTCACATACCCTTATTACAACTCATCTCCTCAAGAACCACAAATTTACATCCACAAATCTAAGCTTAAAGTTGGCTAGAAATTAATGGAGAAGAGTTTGAGAACTTACCCTTGAAGACCTCTCTCTCTCCCTTGAAAACCTTTGAACTCCTCTAAGATTTGTTATTGGCTTTTAACTAAAAAATATAAGGAAATTTAAGAGGAATATTTCTACATTTCAAACTTTAATATAACATGAAAAAAAAAAGGATTTAGAGTTATACCCTTGGAAAAATGCTTGTTTAGACTCCTCCTAGACCCTTTGATCTCCTTCTTCTTCTTCTATGGTTTGCTAGTGGCTCAAGATTGGGAGAGTAGGAGAAAATATTTGAGAGAGAGTGGAGGAGTGTGGTATGGCCGGATTTTGAGGAGGAGAGAAAGGCTAGGGGAAAAAAAATGAGGCTTATCCTATTGTGGTTCATTTTATAGGCACTTGGAAATTATTTTTTTAACACCACATCAACTCTCTCAATCAACCAAATTTTGGTTCAATTTCCCCCAATCTTGGCCGGTTATGGAAGGAGAAAAGAAGAAGCCAAAATTGCCATTAATTCCCCTTCAACCACTACCATCCCATCACCTTAACTTGTAGCCTTCTAACACACTCAACATATAACCAAAATTTTTGGATATAACTTCCTAAGGATGGCCGGCCAAGTAAAGAGAAAAAGGAGAAAAAAAAAACTAATCATTAGTCCTATTCACCTCTCTCATCACATCTCATCAAATCACACACACTAACCTACCCCTTGTACTTTTGTCCATTCCCTTAAGTTACTCATTAAAACTGTCCAAAATCATACTGACAGTTATTTTCTCCTGTATACGGGTACTGGATGCTAGTTTGTGCTGTGCTGGGAGATTCTTAAAATTAACATTCTCTAACTGTATCTATACTGAAAATTCTTCCGTTTTAAAGTACGGTGAGAATTTATCGATCGAATTTACTTGATCAGAAAAATGTGAACCTAACATGAAATCTGCTACAGAATTTAGGAATGCAGATGTTAATTCCATAAATCCTTCAATCACAAAATGTACATAGTATAATGATTTTCCAGGAAAATTCTTGACTTAAATACATGAATTACATTATTGAAATTCTGATATTTTCTTGGTCACTACAGATATGAACTTGTTTAGATAAAAAACATGGAATATACGATAGTTCATAAAGCAAAATATTTAATTAGTTCATAATTAAAGCAAATTGTTCCAAAAAATAAAAGATTATTATTCTGATTTATCATTTAATTTAGGTTATTGATTTGATTTTATTTTGGATTTATCATTATCATCTAGCTTTTAAATTAGTTCGAGTTCTATTATGATAATTAATTTTAGTTCTATTAGGATTCAAATAACAAGACCTATAAATAATGTACAATTTTTGCTTCAACATTCATTCGGTTGGTTCTTGTCTGTTCAACTCTCATGTAATCTTTTCACCCACATGTTCATCTCTGTCCAACAATTCGTTATCGGGTTTATTCTGGTGCAGAAGCTAACAAAGATAAGGAATTGTTGGAAAAGATAAACATGTGGATTGAAAAAGAAGAAGAAGCTAAATGAGAAAAAGGAAGAATCATGCAAAATCGACAAAAATATCAACGGCACCAGGTTTTTATTTATTTATGAAAATAAAAGACATTTATTGAAAAGATTACTTTTAAAAAGTCATTTTTGCATTTATATAGAAGATCGTACAGTGTAAATCAGTCCTTACATACTCTATCAGTCCTTACATACTCTATTAACTTCTGTTAAAAGGTTGTGAAGGGTCTCTTGACTTCAGCTTTGTGCTTGTCATCAACAGTCAGTGGTTGTTTTGTTATTTTATTGGCGTTTTTGCCGCCACTATAACAGACTACTGAACCGCCACACTATTTGATGGTTCGACCGATGAAAATCGGTGTTGATATAGTACTATCTCGTTAGTTAATCTTTTTGGTAGTGATCGATTTGCTGGTTAAATTAAACAGTTCTAATTTAATAAACTTGTTACTCGGTAAACGCAAATAAACAATAATAAACCGTTAATAAACTTATAACATATGATCCTTAATCAATAATTCCAGAGACAACTTACGCTTGCAAAAAATTTATAGTATACCTTAAAAACTAACTTGGCTCTTAACGCTTTTGTCTGATAAACTAATAACCAATGTTTCGAGGTTTATTTGTGCTCAAGAAATAATTTGCTAGGCACAACTTGAGAGTCTGGATTTTGATGTGCATAAACTTGGGGACTGGAAAAATCGAACATCATAAAATAAAATAAAGATAACCGACAGAATATCATTCCTGCATAAAAAAGAAATACAAAATCCGAATATTGTCCAGAACCAGCAGAATTTACAGAGTTTTGGAAATGAATTAAGTACCATTATGTTCTACCGCCAACATATACAAACTCATGAAATCCCGTTTGACAAAACTAATAGATCGATACCATGTTTTGGACAATGATAAGTATGAAACCAAAGGATATGTAAACCAATATTATGGTTACCCTTTTTCCCTTCTCATGGCTAATACTACAAAGTACAGACAACATTTTTTCTTCATCAGCTTGGGGGTTACAACACTGCAAGGGGACGACGGCCTGTAAATTTTTTTTTGCTTGTTTCCCACTGAGGTAGCTGAAATCTTCATAGATAACTTACAAGACAGTAGCAGAAGCGACCCGAAAATATTATGGCCATCCTTTTTCGCCTTACGTCTACTTGTATAAACAGCCGATGCAGTCCCCGTAGAGCAAAGATAATGAATGGATAAATATTTTCTGCCTGATTTACAGATCTTGCCCGGATGTACATGCTTGATTTTACTTTACACTATCATATATTTCAGCTTTTTCAGAGACCCCCTTCTCCTCTGTCCCCGTTTTCTTCCTGGCTCGAAACAGCGATTAGCTGCTGTTGCAACTGCTTAGAAATAACCAATTTATCAATGAAAAGTACGTGTAATCACGATGTGTGTAGAAAAATCGCTTCCCCTTTCCCTCTCACGGTCGGGTTGAATAACATTTTTAAGTTTAAAGAACTAACAAAACGTGTAATGAGAGCTTTCTTGAGCAAACTCACTTGTATGTATTTCAACTTTTTAGCAGTCAGTTCATCTGTCAAACAGTTCATCCTGCAACATTGATTCGGTTCTCACGAACCTAGCTTGAAGCTCTGAGATCTTCATGAGGAGTAAACGTTCCCTCTCCGAAGCTGTTGTTTCAGCCTGTTAATAAAATAGACAATAAGGGAACTGAGTGCACAGAAATGAGTGTTTCTGCAAAAGATGAGTTCACATGAGGTTATATCATGAATGAAATGTAATTTGTCAAAGTAAAATATTAGGTGCATCACAACAGAATACAAGATTTTAAAATTTGGACAAACTACGTCAACATTAGGCAACCAACAGGGCAAGAAAACAAAGTAAAAATCAAGGTAAAAACAAACGTGTTTATGAATAACGTATACCATGAAAAATAAACAAAATTTGCACGATTGAATCTAGTCTAAGCTCCAAAGAGAGCGTCCAACCAAAGAAATTTCAACTGAAAGAGTCAAATATCTCTGATACTGAATGAGAAAGTACAGCATCGGGCATGAGCGGACCACTATAAGTCTGGCAAACTTTCACAAGAGTTCTATTCTTTGACATAACTATCTCTTTGTCTGATGTCGATGTTGTTGCCTCAGTGATTGATCCATTTTTCTTCAAGCCCATGTTTTCTTGGAAACCAGATTCCTGTACATCACATTCCAGAATCTTGCCTTTTTTGTTCAAATATTCACTCTGCAGTGATTTATCACCGCTTGATTGTCCTTCACAAGGTAGTTCGCTGTTTGAGTTCAATTTTCCCTGGATGGACTGGGAAGGAGGTGCATCCTGATTGAAGTAATTATTAAGTCAGAAGTTCAAGTTTTTTCCAAATAAAAAGAAGAAAATTAGTTCTCTCTGCATTTGAAAATTTGTTATATCTCCAGAGTAAAAAACAAGATGACAACCTTATCAATAAATATTGATTTCAATTTTTCATCTTCCTCCCGCATCTCTTGCAAATCATCATCATCGCGTACCTAGCCCAAAGATGAAAGGATTTTCATGACGTTAACCACTAGAAATACAGCAAATTTGTAGATAACTTGCAAATTAAAAGCTTAAAGGAAACAGTTTTTATACCTGATGTAAGGAAGCAAGTAAACTAGAGAATACACTGCATAGCGCCTCTTCCCAGTATCAAGCCACGCAAAACCCAGCTCTGATTCAATCGTTGACCAACAATTACACAAATTAATAAATAATTATCAGTTCGTTTGTTTAATAAGAAGTAAAAGATTGGATCTTTTGTTGATTACCAGCCAATTGAAGTAAGGAATGAAGCTGATGATTCTCATAACCCCACACCTAGCATCTGTAGAATCAATAGCCGCATCCTCACCATCCTCGTCGTCGTCGGGAGCTCCGGCCACCGGCAGAACCAGCGAAGAGAGCATACAAGCGCCGATGGCGGCGATGAACGGCGCGTCGTGGGAGAGCTCCGCTCGGCAAATACCGACTCCGATTTTCCTCCGCAACAACCGGAAATCGAAGTTGGAGAAGTCGGAGCTTACCTCGTACGGTCCGAGTTTCCGATCCGGCGAGGATTTGAATAAGGAGGGATTTGGTCTGAAGATGGGAGGTTTGAGAGAGGAAGAGAATTGGATTGGATTGAGAGATAAGGGAATCATGATTGTTTGAACCCTAACATTTGAAATGGTGAAGAAGATGACTGGTGAGCTGTGTCAGTGTCGCCTTCTTCTTCTTTTTCCTCGGTTTCGTAATTTTTCATAATTTTTCTTTTCATAATATTTCTTTTTCTTTTTGTGCACAATTTTCTGTTTGAGTTTATTATTACGTTGGTTGTGTCATCATATCATTTTTTTTGTTTGAAAAATGTTGTAGTTTGTAGACGATGCTGTCGTTTTTTTATGAAGATACAGTCCGATTTTACCGTTATGAACTTAATTCATATCATACGTTTAGGATAAAGTATGTATCAAGTGTTGTTTTTTTTTTTTTTTTCTCTTGAAAGTGATATGAACTTGTTTAGATAAAATACATATATACGATAGTTCATGAAGCAAAATATTTAATTAGTTCATAATTAAAGATAAGTGTTCTAAAAAATAAAAGATTATTATTCTGATTTATCTTTTAATTTAGGTTATTGGTTTGATTTTATTTTGGGTTTATCATTATCATCTTGTTTTTAAATTAGTTCGAGTTCTATTATGATAATTAATTTTAGTTCTATTAGGATTCAAATAACAAAAGACCTATAAATAATGTAAAATTTTTGCTACAACATTCATTCAATTAGTTCTTGAGTGTTCAACTCACATATAATTTTTTCACCCACATGTTCATCTCTGTCCAACATTTGCTTATCGGGTTTTTTCTGGTGCAGAAGCTAACAAAGATAAAGAAATGTTGGAAGAGATAAACATGTGGATTGAAAAATAAGAAGAAGTTGAATGAGAAAAAAGAAGAATCACGTAAAACCGACGTCATTAAGGTTTTTTTCTTTATTTTTATGCGTAAAAATAACGTAGACAACCTACCGTGTAAATCAGTCCTTACATACTCTATAACTTCTGTTAAGAGGTTGTGAAGGGTCTCTTGCCTCCTCCTTGGCTTCACCTTTGTGCTTCTGATCATCAACCGTCAGTGGTTGTTTTGGCATTTTACAGGCTGTTTGGCTTGGTATAATGTACTTCATGATTAATTTTTTTACTGCAATATTCATTAATTGGTTTTCTGAATGTTCAACTCTCATGTACTCTTTCCATCCATATGTTTATCTTTTTTCAACAATTTCTAGTGGCTTTTTTTTGGGTGCGGAAACTAACAAAAATAAAAAATTGTTGGAAGGAGATCAACATATTGATTGAAAAAGAAGAAGAAGAAGCTGACAAAAAAAAAAAAAAAGAGGAATCACGTAAAACCACAAAGATATCAACGTCATTAAGGTTTTTTTTCTTTATTTTTATGTGTAAAAATAACGTAAACAACCTTTATTATAAATATATATATATATATAGCCAAGTTATAAATTAGATATTGTTTAACATAAGCCTATTCCTGTTCATCAGGGCTTAAATTCAAGTTGAAGGGCTTATATTTATTTGATTAAGAGACAAATATTCGCACAAGTTCAATTAAGAGAATAGGCATATCTCCAATCATTTTCTTTTACGTAGTTGTCCTGTACCTACTTACAATAGATATCATCTGTTGAGATATTAATTTTGTTTCTCATAGCTCTTTTCAAAAAAACAAAAACAGAAAAGAAAAGAAAAGAAAAAAGGAAAATTTGTTTCTCAAAGGGTTTCCCTGTTGGTGAACAGGATTTAAAAAAAAAAATTGCCGAAAAAGCATCTCTTGAATCATGCCATAGGGGGTTCTCCTTATCCTTATCAGAGAGTAAGATGGAGATCCAGATTAGATAATAAACAAAGAATTTAGACAAAAACAAAAAACAAAAAAAAACAAAAAACAAAAAACAAAAACAAAAACAAAAAACAAAATAAAACAAAACAAACAATAGAAAAAACAACTACTAAACATCGCCTAAAATTTTTCACATATAAAGACTTTTTTAGTTATAACTTTTACCAGTGAAAACAAACTGACCAATCGGATTACAAATAACTTGCTTTAAATTTTATTTCTTTTTCCCTTCAAATGACCATAAGCACTCATGCATGAGATATTGTAACGAAATTGATATGAGAAATAGGTAATTGAATATTGCACAAAAATAAAACCGAAAATAGGGAAGAAGATTATGAGTCCATTGCTAAAAAATTAAAAGAACCAAGAACACACCCAAATTGTGAAATCAACCATGACATTATTAGAGAAACATAAAGGCTAAAAACAATAAAAAAAGTCTCGAGTCACAATAAGTAATGTTTTTTATAAGAGGACGGTCAGCAAGATCAAATAGAGAAGAACAATTGGTTACGAAATATGTTTCTATAATATAATTTAACAAAAAAGTTTTAGTGTGAATTTATACATATATATATATATATATAGTGCAAGATTGGGTAGTGTGAACTCTAAAAACAAAAAACAAAATGGTTAGCGTTATGTTAACTCTTAAACCATATTTTGCCACATCATTGCTTAGCCGCATTTAGTTTTAGTTAGCCTTTCTTTCTGTGGTAGAACTGCTAAAATAAGGCTTCAATTTTTAATGAAATAATTGAATTTTTCAAGTTCAGGTGAAAATGAGGTTAAAAGTGAGGCCACGGCTAATAATGCTAATTAATCTTGGACCACGCCCCCCGCCCCCAAAAAAAAAAAGGCAGTTTTTTTATTGAATCTACAGTTTATAAATAATCGCTATGGGTAGTATTAATCTGACAAAACTCGAATCGGAGAAATGAACGAGACTTAAGACTCCGTTCATTTTATCGATTCGAGTTTTGTTACAGTAAAAAGCTCTCAGAAACAGTAAAATCTAACTTTTTTACTATAGTAAAAAAATTCTCACATAAAATCACATCTCAACTCGAATTAAAAAATCGAATCAACGAACTAAACGAGTCATTAATATGTCATTCAAATTTTAAAAGAGTTCGTGTCCTCCTGATTTCTCCCCTTGAAATATGAAACGTGGTTTAAAACACTCTCTGAACTAATATTATCTTATAATAAATGAACTATTGATTTTGACTCAATTTCAAGAGATAAAATATACAAGTTCTACGGGACAAGTTGAAGAATGGCAAAAAAAATGAAGGGCATTTTTAAAATTAATTCTAATTTTTAAATCAAATCATTTTTACCACGTCATCTCTTGACCCCACCAACGGATTTATTGCTTTTGTTCACCTTTGATTTTTCTCCCTCCAATATCAGAAGTAGAAGTGAAATATGGTACAATGATAAGGAGGAACTCATGCAATTAATCCTATACGTAAATATAAATGGGAAAATTTTCATATCGATATCATGTGTTATAGCGTAAGTATCTTTTAGTATTCTGTGTTTTTAGTAATTTTAAATTAATATTTTGACGTTTAGAAGATTGATTTTTAATACCTTGAGGGCATTTTTTAAGATGTAAAATGTCAAATTTACCATTTTCATTACTTTATCAAAAACTAATAAATTTACAAAAAATCTGAAAAAGTTATTTTAATTTAAAGCATTATTTTTATTTTTATTTTTAAATGTTTAAAAAAATCATTATTTTTCAAATTTTATTATTATTTTTTTGGTTAATTAATGAGAAATGTAACTTTGACATTTTACATTTAAAAAAAATGACCTTAAGGGTGCGTTTGGTTGGGTGGAAAGGAAAGAAAAAGAATAAAATGAAATCCAAGTCTAGTGTTTGATTGCATTTATAAAAAAGGAATGATCATTCACCAGTTTTAAGTGAATCATCATTCCTTCATCACATGGGAGGAGTCATTCCAAACTCTTTTCTTCATTTTTTTTCTATAATTACCCTTCAATATTATAATCTAATTACAATATATTATATAGTTATTATAATATAATGATATTGTAACAAAGCATATCATGATTATATTAATAATTCTAATATTATTATTTTATTATATAAAACGATCTTAATAATTATATTATATTGTATTAATATAATAATGTTTATTATAATAATTAGTATAATTAAATATTATTATCTATATCTATTACACACGTTATACATAATAATAATATATTATCTAATAATTATATATTGTATTATATTAGAATATAATATAATTGTAATTTTTAATTATATTATAAAATATTATGGTTTTTATATAATATTATAAGATGATTTATAATATTATAATTATATTAACTATTTTAATAATATTATTCTATTATATATCGCATGTTATATAATAATAGTTTTATTGTATTATATTAAATATAATAATAATTATATATTATATTGTAACTATATATATTATATTATAGTATAATCTAATATAGTTGTAATTTTAAATTATATAATAATTGAAATATTATTATTCATTATATAATCTTATAATATATTTCATAATATTATAATTATATTAACTATTTTAATATTATTATTATACTCTATATCATAATTATATAATAAATAATTTTATTATATTAGATTACATTTTATATATTGTATTAATTATATTCCTGCCATGCAAGCGAGACTTTCTAGTGCTTCCTTCTGTCGTCTTCATCCCAATCGTCATTCAAGTGTTCATTATCATGTAGGGGCTCTCTGGGAACTCCCGACCCTCGAATTTTGTTCCTGGATTGCTCATCAGCAGATGGCATATTTATTTGCTCGTTTTTCCTCCCCTTGATATTGAAATCAAATCAGTTGAAAGCCTTCCTCAGAAAACGCATTAACGTATCCAAGAACCGCAAGAAGTCATACCTTCAATGCCTCCGTCCTTCTAGACGTTGATGAGACACGCTTTGAAGCCTCACTAAAAAATTGAAAGGCCTAAATATCTCCGTTTTTAGTACTTATTTCGAGCTGCTGATAGGAAAGATTTGGAGTCACAAAGATAAGACTAAATGATCATACAAGTAAGGAACAAACCTAACCTAGCTTCTAACATAAAGCCCGAAGCTTTCTTGCAATGACAAACCAAAGATATTAAACAATGCAAACTTCTTATGTAGCTCCGATTATATAACCAACTCTATGGTAGTTTGCAAATAAAATTGCGCTTGACATTTAAAAAGAAGTTATGAAAGGAAATCTGAGGCACAAACCAGTATATAAGTAAACTCCTTATGTTGAACCAGGAAGGAAAAATGATTGAAAAGAGCTTGTACCTGAACGTGAAGAATACACAAAACAATGCTAGCAATAGCCAGCCAGCTCTCCTCCGGTGACAATGACAGATTTGACCTAATTCATCAAGGGGACCAAATGGTCAAGTATAAACCATTTTAAACCATCAACAGTTACGTTATGCTTGCTTCAAAGTCCAAAAAGATGAACCAAATTGACAAGTATAAAGTTATAAACCATTTTGAAGCATCAAACAACTAACAAGGGAGTGTTGTTTATATGGTCCAGAATATCAGGGATTGAAAGTAAACATACCAAGAACTGAGCTGTGATAGCAACAAATAGTATCATTTAACCTAACAAGATATTCAAGATCATTTCTTTCCAATAATTACTAACCAAAGCTTAAAGGAAACAGTTTTTATACCTGATGTAAGGAAGCAAGTAAACTAGAGAATACACTGCATAGCGCCTCTTCCCAGTAACAAGCCACGCAAAAACCCAGCTCTGATTCAATCGTTGACCAATAATTACACAAATTAATAAATAATTATCAGTTTGTTTGTTTAACAAGAAGTAAAAGATTGGATCTTTTGTTGACTACCAGCCAATTGAAGTAAGGAATGAAGCTGATGATTCCCATAACCCCAAACCGAGCATCTGTAGAATCAATAGCCGCATCCTCACCATTCTCGTCGTCGTCGGGAGCTCCGGCCACCGGCAGAACCAGCGAAGAGAGCATACAAGCGCCGATGGCGGCGACGAACGGCGCGTCGTGGGAGCGCTCCGCTCGGCAAATACCGACTCCGATTTTCCTCCGCACCAACCGGAAATCGACGCTGGAGAAGTCGGAGCTTACCTCGAACGGACCGAGTTACCGATGCGGCGAGGATTTGTATAAGGAGGGATTTGGTCTGAAGATGGGAGGTTTGAGAGAGGAAGAGAATTGGATTGGATTGAGAGATAAGGGAATCATGATTGTTTGAACCCTAACATTCGAAATGGTGAAGCAGATGGCTGGTGAGCTGTGTCAGTGTCGCCTTCTTCTTCTTCTTCCTCGGGTTTCGTAATTTTTCATAATATTTCTTTTTCTTTTTGTGCACAATTTTCTGTTTTAAGTTTTTTATTCCGTTTGTTGTGTCATCATATCATTTTTTTTTTTTTTTGCAAAATGTTGTAGTTTGTAGACGATGCTGTCAGTTTTTTATGAAGATACGGCCCGATTTGTTAAAACAAAAATTCTGATAAAACAATTTTACCGTTCCGAACTTAATTCATATCATACGTTTAGGAGAAAGTATGTATCAGGTGTTTTTTTTTTTTTTTTTTTTTTTTTTTTTTTTTTTTTTTTTAAATGAAATAAAACTTTTTAAAAAAAAAAAAATTGAAAGTGATATGAACTTGTTTAGATAAAATACATATATACGATAGTTCATAAAGCAAAATATTTAATTAGTTCATAATTAAATATAAGTGTTCCAAAAAATAAAAGATTATTATTCTAATTTATCTTTTAATTTAGGTTATTGGTTTGATTTTATTTTGGGTTTATCATTATCATTTAGCTTTTAAATTAGTTCGAGTTCTATTATGATAATTAATTTTAGTTCTATTAGGATTCAAATAACAAAAGACCTATAAATAATGTACAATTTTTGCTACAATATTTATTCAATTGGTTCTTGAGTGTTCAACTCACATATAATTTTTTCACCCACATGTTCATCTCTACCCAACATTTGCTTATCGGGTTTTTTCTGGTGCAGAAGCTAACAAAGATAAGGAAATGTTGGAAGAGATAAACATGTGGATTGAAAAAGAAGAAGAAGCTGAAGGAAGAATCACGTAAAACCGACGTCATTAAGGTTTTTTTCTTTATTTTTATGCATAAAAATAACGTAGACAACCTACAGTGTAAATCAGTCCTTACATACTCTATAACTTCTGTTAAGAGGTTGTGAATGGTTGCCTCCTCCTTGGCTTCACCTTTGTGCTTCTGATCATCAACCGTTAGTGGTTGTTTTGGCATTTTACAGGCTGTTTGGCTTGGTATAAATAATGTACTTCATGATTAATTTTTTTACTGCAATATTCATTAATTGGTTTTCTGAATGTTCAACTCTCATGTACTCTTTGCATCCACATGTTTATCTTTTTTCAACAATTTCTAGTGGCTTTTTTTTTGGGTGCGGAAACTAACAAAAATAAAAAATTGTTAGAAGGTGATCAACATATTGATTGAAAAAGAAGAAGAAGAAGCTGACAAAAAAAAAAAAAGAGGAATCACGTAAAACCACAAAGATATCAACGTCATTAAGGTTTTTTTTTCTTTATTTTTATGTATAAAAATAACGTAAACAACCTTTATTATAAATATATATATATAGCCAAGTTATAAATTAGATATTGTTTAACATAATCCTATTACTGTTCATCAGGGCTTAAATTCAAGTTGAAGGGCTTATATTTATTTGATTAAGAGACAAATAGTCGCACAAGCTCAATTAAGAGAATAGGCATATCTCCTATCATTTTCTTTTACGTAGTTGTCCTGTACCTACTTACAGTAGATATCGTCTGTTGAGATATTAATTTTGTTTCTCATAGCTCTTTTCAAAAAAACAAAAACAGAAAAGAAAAGAAAAGAAAATTTGTTTCTCAAGGAGTTTCCTCGTTGGTGAACAGGATTTAAAAAAAAATTGCCGAAAAAGCATCTCTTGAATCATGCCATAGGGGGTTCTCCTTATCCTTATCAGAGAGTAAGATGGAGATCTAGATTAGATAATAAACAAAGAATTTAGACAAAAAAAAAACAAAAACAAAAAACAAAAAACAAAAAACAAAAACAAAAACAAAACAAAACAAAACAAACAATAGAAAAAACAACTACTAAACATCGCTTCAAATTTTTCACATATAAAGACTTTTTTAGTTATAACTTTTACCAGCGAAAACAAACTGATCAATCGGATTACAAATAACTTTCTTTAAATTTTATTTCTTTTTCCCTTCAAATGACCATAAACACTCATGCATGAGATATTGTAATGAAATTGATATGAGAAACAGGTAATTGAATATTGAACAAAAATAAAACCAAAAATAGCGAAGAAGATTATGAGTCCATTGCTAAAAAATTAAAAGAACCATGAACACACCCAAATGGTGAAATCAACCATGACATTATTAGACAAACATAAAGGCTAAAAACAACAAAAAAAGTCTCGAGTCAAAATATAAGCAATGTTTTTTTAGGAGAGGACGGTTAGCAAGATCAAATAGAAAAGAACAATTGGTTATGAAATATGCTTCTATAATATAATTTAACAAAAAAGTTTTAGTGTGAATTTATACATATATATAAAAATATGCTTATATATATATATATATGTATATATATATATATATAGTGCGTGCAAGATTGGGTAGTGTGAACTCTAAAAATAAAAAACAAAATGGTTAGCGTTATGTTAACTAGGGGTGTTAATCGGCCGGGTAGGGTCGGGTTGAGCCAAATAATTGAGCCGACCCGATCAGTGTGGGTTGAGAAAAGTTTGGGCCGCAACACTCTCTTAAGTCTACAAACCTGCAACCTTTCGGGTGACCTCAGGTAGGCTCGGGTTACTCGGGTTGGTAAAAACCAATTTTAATCTATGACTTCATACCTCTTTTAACAGTCCAAAAGCATAAACAACAAGGAGATAAAATAAAATCTTGAAAAGCAAAATAGTCCATATAAAATAAACAGTTTAATCCATAATCCAGAATAATTTTTTTTTCTTTTTCCCTTCAAATGACCATAAACACTTATGCATGAGATATTTTAAAAAAATTTGATATGAGAAATAAGTAATTGAATATTGCACAAAAATAAAACTGAAAATAGGGAAGAAGATTATGAGTCCGTTGCTAAAAAAAATAAAAGAATCAAGAACACATCCAAATGGTGAAATCAACCACGACATTTAAAGGCTAAAAACAACAAAAAAAGTCTCACTCATAATAAGCAGCGCTTTCGATGAGAGGATGGTCAGCAAGATCAAATAGAGAAGAATAATTTGTTATGAAATATGCTTTTATAATATAATTTAATAAAAAAATTGTAGTGTGAATTTATACATATATATAAAAATATGCTTCTATATATATATATAGTGCAACATTGGGTAGTGTGAATTGTAAAACAAATAAAAAACAAAATGGCTAGCGTTATGTTAACTCTTAAACCATATTTTGCCGCATCATTGCTTAGCTGCATTTACTTTTAGTTTGCCTTTCCTTCTGTGGTAGAACTGCTAAAATAAGGCTTCAATGCTTAATGAAATAATTGAATTTTTGAAATATTATATATTGATATAGCTTCAAGTTCAAGTCCCCTACCAAAAAAAAAAAAACAACAGTTCTTTGATTGAATCTATACTTTCCCTCTTTCATCTATAATATATGCAAATGTAAAAGTACATAATGGGAAGCGTGATGATAATTTTTGGGATTAATTTAAAAAATGTCCTTAAATTTTATACCTTATTTTAGGACCCGTTTAGTTTGTTGATTCGAGTTTTTAATTCGAGTTGAGATGTGACTTTATATAAAAGTCTTTTACTATAGTAAAAAAGTTAGATGTGACTGTTTATGAGAGCTTTTTATGTTGGTTCCCGAATCGAATTCGGGTGCGGAAGCGTGGGGAAACAGTGGATTGTGTATAACAAAAATTTTCACAAAACTTTTGAAATACTCTATAGATTATATTAATTTATGTACGAATAAATTAATCACATTAATTTATATTATTCAAGGATCAACTGAAAAAAATACCTGGAAGCCGACTCGGATGATAACTTGAATTTCTTTGACCACGAACAATCCTTACTCCAAGCTTTGTGTTTAGAATACCAAAGTCTTCCACGTCAATTCCTTGATTCCACGTAGACGTGTGTGTGGGCACACGTGAGACAAAAACAGGTTTCTTAAAC